GCACGCACGCGCAGGCACGCACACGCAGGCACACACACGCGAACGAACGCACGCGAAAATGTACGCACGCACGCACGCACGCACGCACATACACAAACAGAACAGCGCCACGCGATAGACAGATGGTCAGAGTGTCCGAACAGACGAACGCAGACGGCCGATGCCCCGTAACATTGCACACGCATCTCTAACCTAGCAACGTGGGTGACCTCTATTGCTAAATACGACAACTAAAACAAGAGTGCATCTCTCGTACCAGCAGCCGCCCCCTGGCTAAATACGACAACTAAAACAAGAGTGCATCTCTCGTACCAGCAGCCGCCCCCTGGCTAAATACGACAACTAAAACAAGAGTGCATATCTCGCACTAGTAGCCGCCCCCTGGCTAAATACGACAACTGAAACAAGAGCACATCTCTCGCACCAGGAGCCGCCCCCTGCTAAACACAACTAAAACAAGAGCACATCTCTTGCACCAGGAGTCACCCCCTGGCTAAACACGACAACTAAAACAAGAGTGCATCTCTCGCACCACGAGCCGCCCCCTGCTGGCCGATAAGACAACGACAAAAGAGCATCTGTGGCAGTGAAGGGCGCTGCCTCACCCAGTCGCTACGATACGACGAAGAAACAAGTGCACGTCTCGCACACTAGGGGGCGCTCCTTCTCGCACGGCCATGGCGACGAAGGACAAAGACGGCGACAGACGCGCGGCGGCCATTAATATGTACATACGATAAAATCTGAGAACAACAATTACAATATCAAAACAACTGCAAATATCTGAATATCTGATCACTGAATGTGCGAGCGGTGGATGGGTGCGTGTGTAGAAGGGGTATAGGTGTGTGTATGGGGTACCTCATACCCCCCGCCGCCCCACCCCCCGCTGGCCCACCCATGTACTGTCGCTGCTTCTCAGGACTTGATTCGCGGTGAATTACAAAGCGAATGATAAAAAATATGCTTCCGGTTACAGCGTCCGTTTCAGCTAATGTACCGCAGGTGTACGGGAGAAATGTCAAGGGAAGAACACTGGGGAGAGAGAGAGAGAGAGAGGGAGAGGAGAGGGGAGAGAGAGGGAGAGAGAGAGGAGAGAGAGGGGAAAGAGAGAGAGAGAGGGAGAGAGAGGAAGGGGAGAGGGGAAAGAGAGAGAGAGAGAGAGAGAGGAGGACAGAAAAGTCAAAAGCCAGAAAAAGAAAGAGGAAGGTAAAAGAAGACGAAAAAGAAACCCAACCCCCTCTTCTCCCCCACCGAGCTTCCCATGTTGTTCACGTTGTTCCGCATCGTTCCCGCGATAGCTTCGCGTGACTTCTTATGTGTTCACGATCGTGGCGCCACCTGCTGCTTCCGCGCCCCCGTTCTTTCTATTTTGATTTCGACGCGACCTTTTCGTGAACAAATTTGCGGAACACGCTGTCGATGTCATCGGGGATCTCGTTGGCCTTCAGAACCTGTGAACAACGCCGTCAAGGTGAATGTGAGTACGAGGTCAAGGTCGATGTGTCGGGGTCAGCAAAGGTCAACGTGGGGGATTTTTTTGAAACATGCTATGCAATAAATCTTATTATTATTATTATTATTATTATTATTATTATTGATTATTATGTCATGCAATCATCCTCATGAATTGATCATTTCATCTCATCATTATTAATCTTAATCTTATTATTCTTGACGTGTTTTTGGTTTTATCCCCGTGAGAGACAGTAGCTCTGGGCGACATGAGAGTTCTCAGGCTCTGCTAGCTTATACATTATTATTATTATTAGATTTTATTATTATTATGACTGTGTTTACCCCGTGAGAGACGAGTAGCTTGGACATGAGAGTTCTCAGCTCTGCTAGCTAATTATTATTATTATTATTATTATTATTATTATTATTATTATTATTTATTCATTGATTATTGATTATGACTGTGTTTACCCCGTGAGAGACGAGCTAGTTGGACCGATGAGAGTTCTCACTCTGCTGAGCTTATTAGTATCATATCATTCCATTCATTATCAGTCTTGATTCATTATTATTGATGACTGTGTTTACCCCGCCTGACCGAGACGAGCTACGCTCTGCCGACATGAGAGTATCTCACGCTCTGCAGCTTATTATTTATTATTTATTATTTTACTTATATATTATTATTATACATTATATATTATATATTATTATAATTATTAATTTTGATGGACTGTGTTTTCTACCCTTGAGACAGACGAGTTAGTTGGACATGAGAGTTCTCAGCTCTGCTAGCTATTATTATTATTATATATTTATCTTTTATTATCTTATTATTATTATTATTCATTATCTATATTATTATTATTATTAATTATGTATTATGAACGTGTGTTACCGTGAGAGACGAGCTAGGCGTGGACATGAGAGTTCCTTCAGCTCTGCTAGCTGTATTATTTATTATTTATTATTGAATTATTATTATTTATTCTATTATTACTTATTTATTATTATTATATTCATTATCTGATTAATTATTATACGTTGACTGTGTTATACCCCGTGAAGAGCACCGCAGTAAGCTTGCCGCACATGATACGTTCTCCAGCTTCTGCTAGCTAATCATAATTCCGATTATTATTATTATTATTATGACTGTCGTCTGATACCCCCAGCTGAGAGGGTAGCTTGTTACATGAGAGTTCTCATCTGCCTATGCTTATTAGTTATTATATTATTTAGTTATTATTATCTATTTTATTTATTATTATTATTATTATTATTATTATTATTATTATTATTATGACTGTGTTTACCCCGTGAGAGACGAGTAGCTTGGACATGAGAGCATTCTCAGCTCTGCCTAGCATTATTATGTATCTCATTCCATTATTATTTTATTATGTATTATCTATTCATTACTTATTATTATTCATTATTATTATTATTATTATTATTATGACTGTGTCTTACCGTGAGAGACGAGTAGCTTCCGGACACTGACCGAGTTCTCAGCTCTGCTAGCTAATTATTATTATTAATTATTGATTATTATTATTTATAATTATTATGCACTAGTGTTTACCCAGCTGAGAGACGATTAGCTTGGACATGAGACAGTTCTCAAGTCTGCTAAGCTCTAATTATGTATTATTATTATTCATGTATTATTATTATTATTAATTATTATTATGATTAGTTATTATTTGACTGGCTGTTTACCCGTTGAGAAGACGAGTAGCTGACAGTGAGAGCTTCTCAGCTCTGGCGACGTTTCTTTTTTTTTTTTTTTTATTTTTTTTTTTTTTGTTTTTTTTTTTTTTTTTTTTTTTTCTTTTTTTTTTTTATTTGTTTTTTTTCTTTTTTTTTTGTTTTTTTGTTTTTGGTTTTTTTTTTTTTTTTTTTTTTGTTTTTTTTTTTTTCTTTTTTTTGGGTTGTTTTTTTTTTTTTTTTTTTTTTTTCTGTTTTTCTTTGGTTTTTTTTTTTTTTTTTTTTTTATTTTTTTTTTTTTTTTTTTTTTTTTTTTTTTTGCTTCCTCTGGTGTGCCGTCTGCTGTTGCTTTATCTCGCCATGTCCTGGAACTTTACCACCAGCCTGTAGACACAAGCAGCAGATTTATTTTTGAGTGAGTGAGGTGAGTAATTTATTTGTGACGTTGAGTTTCTGAAGATACATGCACGCACACACAACACGCACGCGCATGCATGCACGCACACACAACACGCACGCGCATGCATGCACGCACACACAACACGCACGCGCATGCATGCACGCCACACACAATCGCGCATGCAGTGCACGCCAACACACGCCGCCGATGCATGCACGCACATTTGCGCCATGCATGCTACGCACACATCAACAGCCGCACATCGCATGCATGCCGCACACATAGACGCACGCGCATGCCAGGCACGCTCACACACATTTTTTCNAGAGAGAGAGAGAGAGAGAGAGAGAGAGAGAGAGAGAGAGAGAGAGAGAGAGAGAGAGAGAGAGAGAGAGAGAGAGAGAGAGACCGAGAGATCTAGAAAGATAAGGAGAGCGGGGAAGGCAGCCGACGTGACGTCATCACAGACACGCACACACGGCTACGACGGCAGAGCAATTAGCGACGAACACGCAGACAGGTAGAGAGATCGACAGGTAGAGATAGACAGACAGGTAGAGCCAGGTACATAACGAGCGGACAATGCCGGCGCGGCTGCGCTGTGCGTTCACACCTGTGCGCACGGTCGGCCAGGTATTTCATTAGGCCGGTAAACACGGCCGCATAGGTGGTCGGTGCGACGCAATTAAACCATCAAGCATGGCTGCTGCGT